TCTGTCTCTGTATGTGTATCTGTATGTGTGTGTCTGTCTGTGTGTGTATCTGTATGTCTGTGTGTCCATCTCTGTGTGTATCTGTATGTCTGTGTGCCTGTCTCTGTGTGTGTATCTGTATGTCTGTGTGTCCATCTCTGTGTGTATCTGTATGTCTGTGTGTCCATCTCTGTGTGTATCTGTATGTCTGTGTGTCTGTCTGTGTATGTGTGTCTGCCTATGGGTGCCTATACTCCCGAAGAGACCAGAAGCAGTCCTTAGATCCTCTGGAACTATTTACATGTGGTTGGTGATGGAGCTCCCTGATGTAGGAACGCTGCTTCCGGTCCTGTTTTTATTTTATAAAACAGACAAAAGTGTTGGTGGAGCCCCCACTCCTAGAGGGGGCGACTCAAGGCCGCCCTGTCCTCGCCTGCATGGTAACTGTGTGTCTTGCCCTGGAAGACACTGCACTCTACATTTACACCATCCTGCCTGCCCCAATGTCCCCGCTGGTCCGTGTTTTCCTGACCTCCCCCCATTCTGACCCGTGCATGGCATATCATGTAAGATACCATCTGTCTGAAAAAAGAGGCTCTTAGGGAAAAGAGGAGCTCTCATCCCTTAGTAGCCCCTCCTCCTCCCTCCCTCCCAGCCACTGGCTACTTCCTGTCTGTTGGACCTTCCTCCTGACATTTCACACACATGGACTCCCAGTATGTGGCCCTTTATGTCAGTCAATACCCGGTTAGTGTGGAGGAAAAATCCATCCTTTTCAGGGATGGTAATATTCCATTGTGTAGATAAATTACATGTCAGTTATCTGTGTTCACTGGCGGTCAGTGTAGCTCAGGCTAGCTTCCAAATCCAGACCACGTAAACCCAGCCTCCCGAGCCAGAATGGCAGGCGTCTCACCCTGCCCAGCTGCTGAACCCAGTCTTGACTGAATCTCCCTGCTTCCTTGAGAGCGGCCACACGCACGATGACACTGAGCTGATTCTTGTGTCTAAGCCTCACTCCCCGGTTCTCTGTGCTCCATGCAGGCGCCAACGCCCTGCACAACCCTCCTGGCCATATTCCAGTGTAGAATGCCCAGAGCCTCCACTCACTAACTCCGGCCTCCGAGGATCTCCCGGCATGACCCTGTCTCAGAGACGCAGTCATCCCGAGTCTACAAGGGGGAGTGAGGCACCTGGACGAGGGCTGGCAGTGGCCGCACTGGGTAACGCTGGGGCATGGCAGGGTAGCTGAGGAAGACATTAGTGTCCCTGTGGGACCTGCCAGGACCCGGCCCATGTGCAGCCCCAGTGTGCCCCAGGGAGAAGCTGGTGTGTGAGGAAGTCGAACCCAGATGCTCATTCACACATCTCAAACCCGGGATGCTAACATTTCTAATACTTGCCTTTTATATAAAATCACTTGCTGCTTTACTTAGAACCTACGTATAGCCTCCATGCACTTTTTTTTTCTTTAAAGCGGGGTCTCATGCAGCCCAGGCTAGCCTTGAACTCACTATGTAGCTGATCTTGAACTCCTGATCCTCCTGCCCCCAAATCCCAACTGTGGGGATTACAGGGGTTCTGGTACCACATCTGGTTTATGGGGTCTGAGGATGGAATTTATAGCTAGACAAGCATCCTAGACAAGCATGCTGGACAGGCATCCTATCAACTGAGCCACATTCCTGGCCCCAGAAGGTTCTAGGGTGTTCTCTGCCTTTCTCTCCCAACAGCTAGGCCAACCTCTCGGGGCCCTCAGGGGATACAGGTGCTTGCAGGGGCCAAAGCCCCAGACAGAGCAAACCGCAGGCTCAAGGTCCCAGGTCTGGGGCCCAAGTCGGGGCTCCCTAGTGCAAGCTCCTTTTCACAGGCAAGCATGGGTGGCTGAGCCCTGTGGGCCATCTTGAGGGACAGCCAGTTTCTTCATCATGGTGACGCTGACAGGACCTAGCTCCTCCCGAGGCTTGCCACCCACCATTGAGAGTTTCTCACACTTGGTCTCCAATCTGCCAGAAACAGTAAACATTTTAGGCTCTGCCAGCCATCTGTCTCTGTCACCGTCTCTCTGCCGAGTCGTTTACATGTTGTGTGTCACTGCTCTTGGGACCATCTGGGCTGCAAAACCCAAGTTTGCTGTCTGGCTCTTCACAGCGGCGGTCTGCCAGCCTAGCCATCCTCTAAGCAAATTTACTCTTCCCGGCACTGAGGCTCGAACCCAGGCCCTTGAGCACGCCAGGCTAGAGTCTCAAGAACACCTTTCAAACCTGTAAATAACTTCCCTCCCCCCAACACACACACACACACACACACACACACACACACACACACACACACACTTTTAAGGGCTGCATGTTGCTTTCCTTCCAAGGCGGCTTCCCCAGTATCTCCAAGCCCTGTGTGACCCACCGCCAAGCCCGGCCCTTGATGACTGTGCTCTGGCAGGCAAGGAAACAGGTGTTACAAGTTGTACATTGGTTCTCCTTCAATGGACACGCGCCCCTTTGGCCCCCACACTGGCATGCAGGGTGGTCTCCCGGTTCCCTGTGACTGGGCCCCCTGCTTATGAGGCTTTGCTCTGAGCAGCTGTGCACCAAGAACTCCATGAAATCATCCCTCCCCAGTAATTATAGTTTACAGTGGTAAAGAATTTCTGTCTTGCCGGAGGCCATTATAGATCCAGCTGGGCTGGGGGAGGTGGGGGGGGGGCAGGTGGCAAAATCCAGGAAGCAGTTCCAACCCAGAGCGGGGGACCAGTTTTTCTGGTTCCTGGGCTCTGTCAGATGCTGCAGTTTGCCTTCCTTAGGCAGCAGCCCTACAGGGATTTGCAGGTGGCATGGGGCTCCCTTGGGGTCCTCGGAGACCGGCCCCTCTTTAACAGAGAGGCATTAGAAGCTTTGCACCCATTATCTTGGACTTTTGCCAGAGTTGTCTTAATGCTACTGTCACCAATGCCTTCTCCTGACCCGGAGGGGCCTCTCATACCAACAATGGGTGTTTCCATCGAGGTTTTATTCTTCATTTTTCACCCCATATGCAAACATCACCCCCCACTTGCTTTCAGATGCGGTAGTGGAGACTGGAGAATGAAGCTGTGTTTATTATTTTCAAGTTTTCCATATTTGAAAAGGTGTTGGTTTGTGGTGGTGTTGGGGCTGTGCACGATTGTCTGAGGTACTATGGCTGCCCCAGACAGAAGCCCCCGAGAGACACTTAGCCGGGACAGGAGGTAGTGGAGTTTGTGTATCAGGGCGAGGGAAGCAGACCGGTAGTGAATTGAGCATGGGAGAGAAGCTGGACAAGCCAGGTGTGGGGACACAGGCAGTCTGCAGTCCTCCCTACCCAGAGAACCCAGCAAGAGGGCCATGGAGGCTCAGGGGTTAATCCTTACCTAGGCCATCCATAGTGTCATGAGCTTCTACTCCCAGCATTTGGGAAGGAGGCTTAGACAGGAAGATTGGTGCAGGTTCCAAAACAGCCAGGGCTATGTAGAGCGCCTGTCTAAAACCAAAAACAGGCTGGGGGTGTAGCTCAGGCAGGGGTGCTTAGCCATGCTCCTGATTGGCTGAAAACTTCTCTGAGCCTAATGGGTCTGCTAGGAACGACTTGTAGAGGAGTCAGCAATACCCATCCCCTATTCTGGCTGTGAGCAAAGCTGGGTTCACACCCACTACGAATGTGGTAACCAGAAAAGGTCAGAGTGGCCTGGCTGGGTGCATCTATCATCTCCATTGGTAGGAAGCCTGTGTAGAATGCAGAAGGACCTGAGTTTGAACCCACACTGCACAAACCAGGTGTGGTGGTGTGTTCCCAGTGACGCTGGCTGCTTGGACACGGAAGACTCAGGCACTGAGAGTCACCGAGTAGCAGAGCAGGCAAGCTGCAGACTCGTTTATTAAGGAAGTGAGTCCTGCCTTTATACCCCTCCCAAGGTCCCATTGGCTCAGGCTGCTGACTCTGCTGTCCTCCGTCATCTGTGTCTCTGGTTTGGCTGGGGGGGGCGGGGGGTGTGCCTGCTGTGCATGCGCATGTGGGCTGGTTTGGGCACCTGGGTAGTATGATGCAGCTTAGGTAGGCTGGCTGGCAGTTTCTCCCACAGTGGGGCGTGCCTGCAATGCCAACACTAGGGAAGTAGAGGTGGAAGGATCAGGAGTTCGAGGCCTGTGGCAGCTCGAGGCTAGCCTGAACTACATGAGACCCTATCTTGATGAGCAAACAAATAAATAAATGGGTTTCGGTTCATAGGACAGAGACACATCCTCTCCAGAAGGTAATTAAAAAAATCAAATCATCACCTGCCTCTTCTGTGGAGTCGGGACAAACATGCTGAGGATTTTGGATGGGATCCAAAGAGCAGATAGAAATGGGGGGGGGGGCGCTTTGGCCTTTCATTTTTTTGTTTTGTTTTGAGACAGGGTCTTACTATGCAGCCATGGCTGGCCTGAAACCAGCTATGTAGACCAGGCTGGCCCTGAACTCACAGAGACCCACCTGCCTCTGCCTCCTGAGTCCTGGCAGCTTGTTCTTGGAAGTGGATTCAGGAGGCTCTTGTATACACCCCCTCCCTGCCCCTAACTGCCCTCCACCTGCTCTGCCTTGGTCACTGGTCACCAGCACAGATGGACCCAGTGGTCCCTCACCCCTCCCAGCTCACTTCCTCTTCTCCCCCAGAGTCAGGCCTGGGGTCTCTGATCCTGTCACCTCCCCTCAGGCCTGCCTCCCTGAGCTGGTCCCTGCTTTCATTCTCACTAAGCAAACCGGCTTTTCTGAGGGACTTCTAGCTCACTCTTTCCTGGGACAGAGTCCCTCCTTCCCGGAACCTTCTCAATGCAAGGAACCTGTGGAGCATGGCAGCTTAGCCAGCCACAGCTGGGGGGGGGGGGGTAGGGGCCAGGCTCGGAGTGGTTGATACTCCTAACATTTATTGACTTTACTGAAAGCGCAAAACCGAGATTGTGTGGACACGTTCACACCGATGCAGAGCAAGGAGGTCAAGCCACGCCTCTGAAATGAGAGAATATCATGTCTGTGGGAGGAAGCTTGCCTGGAGTGACGGATGGTGTGGACAGCTGCAGGGCAACATGAAAGGGGTGTGGGCTGAGTGTGTGTGTGTGTGTGTGTGTCGAGTGTGCAAGACGAGTGTGTCTACACTATGCCCCTCCCTGTGCCTGCACCTTGATTCTGTTTGATCTGGTAGGTTCTGTGCCCCGCATCTCCAGCCCACCATCCTAAAATGAAAAGCCAAACTCCTGTGGCTCCCCCCTCCCTGTGGTGCTGTGCTGTGAGGACCCCCAGAGCAGCATCCGCAGGGAAATTTTAAAAAGTGTGTATTTATTTTTATTACATTCTACTTTATGTTGTTCTGTTGTATCTTATTTACCTAGAGACATGGTTTCATATTGCCCAGACTGGCCTTGAACTCAATATATAGATGAGGATGGCTTTGAACTTGTGACCTTTCTGCCTCCATCTCCCCTACCCCAAGTTCTAGAACTACAGATGCATATACCACACTTGGTTTAACTTCTGTATTTTGTTTTTACTTTATGTCCACGTTTTGCCTGCATGAATGACTGTGCACCATTCACATCCAGGGCCCGAGAGGGGAAGACCCCCTGGGCTAGAGTTAAGACTGTTGCAGCTGCCCAAATGGATGCCGGGATTTGAACCTGGGTCTTCTGGAAGAGCAGTCAGTGCTCTTAATGGATGAGCTGTCTCTCCAGCTCTTAGCATCTGTATTTCAAGAGCAAAGTCTGGCTAGAGGATTGCTCGGTGAAGGGAGTTACTTACCACTTGGAGCCTAGTTTGCTCAGAGTCTTAGGTTGGCTCCCTGGCTCAAAAAGAGGGGAAAAAGATGGAGGAAAGGTATGCCAAACCCAAAGCACATGGTCCTCCTAGACTAGGCATACCTGCAGTGACAGTACTCTGTGGGCTGAAGCAGGAGGACCGAAAGGCAACACAGTGAGACCCAGTCTCAGAAAGACAAAGTGGTAGAGCATTTCCTAGTCTGTGCAAGCTTGTGGGTTTGATGCTCAGCATCAAATAATGAATGAAGGTGCTCACATATCTTTCACACATGTACCTTCCCTCTAGGACAAGGTTTCTCCAGCTCAGCACCATAAACACCCGGGGCAGGCAACAAATGACCCTTCGGCAAACAGCATCTTGCACACTATGAGCTGTTTAGTGGGATCCCTGACGGGTACTCAGTAGCCTGCAGCATGCCTCCCCACCCCCAGTTTGACACCCAGATGTGTCCCTAGCATTGAGGAGTGTACTCTGGAATGGGGGAGACTGTCCCCACAAACCACCGCACTGGATGGATGAAGTAACCCCCCAGCTTCTGAGGCAGAGGGACCCGTTGTCAGGGAGAAGCCCGTGATAGCCTCCGAGGTGTGTGTGATTTCTGTCCCACATGCAGGAGTGACCTACAACACAGAAACATGGAAATGGCTCTGCACGTGAATTCGTACAAGCGTGACTAAACCCAGAGACAGACTCACCGGCATGTGACAACATGATGGCGACTACTGAAGTCCCAGAGATCGGAGAATGGCGCAGGGGGCCGGGTGGCATACCAGACCAGCTCGCAAGGGGAAGGTGTGCCTGGGTTACTACTGAGCCAGCCTCCTAGCTGCACTCTGTGTAAAGAATATGAATACCACAATACCGCGTATGCCTACAGGACAGCTCAGCGGCCGCACCTCCTTCTCTGACTTAAAACAAAAAGAGCAATTGCCCCTGCACAGACCCTCTGAGCCCCTCACAGCATGACCCGGGTTCCGAGAATAAGAACCCAAAGAGAAGAAAGCAGAGCCAATCCCACGGCACTTTTATAAGTCACCTTGGAAGCATAACTTGCTCCTTCTAATTTTCTCTGTTGATGAGGGAGATAAAGAAAAATGTCCTCCACAAGCAGGGTGTGGTGGTGCACATCTTTGACCCCAGCACTCCGGAGGCAGAGCCAGGTGGTCCTCTGAGTTCGAGGTTTGGACCCAAAGGCAATGTTGAAGGCATAGTTGCAAGCCTGTTACCACTGGGATGTAGCAATTCAGAGTTCCGCCTAGCGGGTGAAAATGAGGTCATTATGGATGGGTCCTGACAGGCATCTTGGGACCCTGGCCCCTTCCTGCCTTCTCTGTCACAAGTTCACTGCGGAGGTGCGAAGGCCTCACAAACACAGAGCACTGACACGGGCTGGACACTGAAACCATGAACAAAACAAAGCTGTCTCCTTCCCTTGATAGCCTCAAGTAGTTTTGCCACAGCAACAGAAAGCTGACAGACATGTTGGAAGCTAACATGGCTCGCTCACTCTGATTCTTGGAATCCCACTGCCAATCTCTCTGCCTGGCCAGGGCCAGGAGGGTGAAGTTACAGAGATTTTAATTGGAATAATCCCAGGAGAGGATTCTGATGGGCTCATCTTAAATCACACACAAAAAAGAAAACAAACAAAAAGCAGAGTGGTTGTGGCACATGCCTTTAATCCCAGCCTAGAGGCAGAGGCAAGCAGATCTCTGTGAGTTTGAGACCAGCCTGGTGTACAGAAGAGAGTCCCAGGACAGCCAGGGCTACACAGAGAAACTCTGCCTAAAAACAAACAAATAAGAAAACACGAAACACACACACACACACAATGCATTCTATGGTCTGGCAAGATGGCTCAGTGGTTAAGAGCACCAGCGCTTTCCCTGAGATTAGCTCCTAGCTCCCATGTGGCATCTCATAACCATATGTAACTGGTCCCATGAGACATGATTCCCCCTTCTGATGTGCAGACAAAACATCTAATACATTAAATAAATTTGAAAAAACGATGTATTTCACTTTTCCCCTTTAGAAGCATTAAGCTACCCACCTACCCATCCATCCATCCATCCATCCATCCATCCATCCATCATCTTCTACCTATCATCTATCTGCTTTGTGAGATAGGATCTCATGTAACCCAAGATGGCCTCAGACTCACTATGTAGCCAAGACTGGGCTAGAATTCCGGACCTTCCTGCCTCTGTTTCCCAAGTAATGGGATTGCAGGTGTGTGTCACCATGCCCAACCAAAGCTCTTGTTATTTTATTTTATATTTTTATTTATTTTGGACCAGGCACGGTGATGCACACCTTTAATACCAGCACTCAGGAAGCAGAGGTGGATGGATCTACAGAGTGAGTTCCAGGACAGTCTACACAAAGAAGCCCTGTCTCAAAACAAAACAAAACAAAACAAAAAACAAAAAAACAAAAGCAGAGCGAGAGAGAGACTTTGGAACTTGGACTAGAAAAGTAGTTAGACGAGAAGGTGATTCTAGTTGGATCCTGGATCCTGGGAGTCAGTAGGTCTGAGAGCCATGTGGGGTAGGAAGGCACAGCTCAAGGTTTCAGAGTCAGGGGTGGGGGGTGGGGGAAATTAGCAACTGAGCTAGAGGCCATTTATGTGATGTTTTGGCAAAGAATCTGGCTGCCTTCTGCCCAGGACCTGAGAACCTGCCTGTAGCTAAGTTTAAAAAAAATGTTACAAACTTAATGTCACATCCTAGGTATGTTCTGGGACACAGGCTGTGAGGGCTGCAATTGTTAAGGAGGTTAGTGACTTTAGTGATCTGATTGGATCAAACAGAAGAGTTCTCCAGGGCCAAGACCCCACACAGCACATCCATATGTGAAAGGAAAGGACCTAAAGTATTTTCTGTTCCTAGAAAGAAACTGGGAAAAAACAAGAAGAAGAAGGAGACGGAGAAGAAGAAGGAGACGGAGAAGAAGAAGGAAAGAAAAATAAAAGCTGTTGCTAATTGGCCAATTTCAATGAAAACATACAACCATGGCAGAAAGAAAAATACAAAATGTACAGTTTGGGGAGAAAAGTACCAAGAAGGGGCTTAAATTTCTGCCACAGCAGGAAAGAGGTTGCATTTGCTAGGAGAGGTCTCTAAGACGTTTCCAACCTGGGAAAGGGAAAGGGAAAGGCCAGGTCATTTTCTGTTCCTAGAGAGAAACTGCAAACAAAATCAGCTGCCGGTATGTTTCAGTGGGGACAGGGTGAGGGTGCAGCCCAAGCTGGCACCGTCATCCACTTGGTGCTGATAAAAGACAGTTAAGTGTCACAGAATTTTTTCTCCTGATCGAAGCAAGGCAGTGTGTGAAGACCCCAGAAGGTAGAAGGTCTTTGTGTGACCCAAAGGCCTGGATTGCATAGGTGATGCCACATCCAGGGTGTCCGCCAAGACGAGCTGCAGACGGGTAGCAGTGGAAACAGCCTGAGAGAGAGTGTGCCACAGGCTGCAGAGCCAGAGGGCAGGGCCACGGAAGCCCGTTGACGCCCCCTCGGAGCTACCGGATTTGGGAGTTTGTCTTGCTTGATCCTGTGTTTCTTTGATGTACCCCCCCCCCTTCCTCCCTTTCCGAATGGCAGTGCGTATGCTGGGTCATTATATGTTGGAAACATGTAATTAGTTTTTTATTTTATGGGGTGTTACAGCTGAGATAATGTCTTGAGTCTCTTGGGACTGTGGAAGGCTGTGGGACTTACAGAGATGGACTAAATATATTCTGTGTTGTGATATGACCATGTGCCTTTGCGAGCCTGAGCTTTGGGGTATATATGAACGAGAGGCTGACCTCTGTGTTGTGAGATATTTGATTGCACTGTGTAAAGATATGTCACTGTGATTGGTTTGATAAAATGCTGAATGGCCAATAGCGAGGCAGGATTTGGGGAGCAGAAAGGATGCTGGGAAGAAGGGCAGAGTCACTAGGAGATGCCAGGAACACAAAGCAAGCAACATGGGCTTACAAAGCAAAGGGAACGGAGCCATGTAAAAGAACATAGATGAAAAGATATGGCTCGACTTAAGTTATAAGAGCTAATTAGAAATGAGTCTAAATTACCAGCCGAGCTTTCACAATTAATAAGTCTTCAAGTCGTGGTTTGGGAGCCAGCAGGTGGGACAGAGCAAGACCCACTACACCTCTGCCTCGTTCTGACCAGGGTCTTCAGGCTGTGTTGGAGGCAGAATGCACACTCCAGTGCAGTTCTCGACCTCAACTCATAAAGTCACCAACAGCTTGGCGGTGATGGCGCACACCTTTAATCCCAGCAAATGTGAGACAGAGGCAGGCAGAGGGCTGTGGGTTCGAGGCCAGCCTGGTCTACAGAGCAAGTTCCAGGACAGCCAGGACTGTACAGGGAAACCCTGCCTCAATAAAACCAAAAATAGAACAAAGTCTCCACTGCTACCCTGGAACCCCATCCTCCCCTCATGGGATCCCAATTGCCTCCCAAAGTTGCACCTGGAGATCTCATACAATTTGGGGATCGATGCCTTATGCTGTTGTGAGGT